GGTCGCCTCCTCCTGCTCCTCCTCCTTCTCACCCCATCTGCTCTGGATGCCCCTATGTCATATCACAAAACACTATAATTATTATTGACATATCTGTTTCCCTCACTACAATGTAACCTTCCAAAGGGGAAGAGCCGGTGCTTCCTGCCACATTTTATCTCTGGGCTTAGCATGCTGCAGGGCACACACAGTTAAACTGAGGTCGCTGTTAGAGGATCCGGCACCAGTTACTGCTATTCTGTCCTCTCTCCTTGAACAGTGAAAAGGTAGAGAGGATCCACAGCACACTGAGGGAGAGGTAAGTGGCGAGCGTCTGGTGAAGCTTCACTGTATGCTGGGCTGCCTTTGGAATACCACTAGTGATTCGGGGGGACGTGACTCGGGGGAACGTGTGGTTAGACATGACTGCAAGAACAGACGACGAGATCATGGAGAAAATTGTGTCTTTTTAAAATGTTGAAATTCCTGGGGGCAAACTACGAAGGACGAATTGATGTTGACTGAGGGCTTAAGGTTTATGGGGCTGAAACCCACTGTGAACTTTTCCACATGTGTCTATTGTCATGTGAGATAACACACCAGCTTCAGGGCGGCTCCACCTGTGACTTCTCTACGGTCTTTCCTGGGATCCTCTGAGGGGCAGCCTATCCTATATCAAGACTCTTTGAAAGTGAAGGAGTGAGAATGGCCAGATCATCCTCTTGAATATGTGGCCCCCCTCCCTCCTGCCCATCGCCCACATGAAAACATCCCTATTTGGACTTGGGAGGAAGGACCGTGCCACAGTGGTACTGAAGGAATGGTAGAGATGGTTCTAGACTTCTGTGTACCTCGCCTTGAGCCTATGTCCCTTTCTAGGGTCTGACCATACAAACCTTTGATTCACTGAATGCATCTGGCCTTGGTGTGTCAGAAGGTCTCACGAGACTGCTGGCCCAGCTTCCCTTGTGGCACGTTTCAGGCAACCAAGATATGTTTATCGAAACTAAGAAATTAAGTTTGGAGCAAACAATATCAACTAAACCACAGACTTCCTCTGGGTTTCACCGGTTCTTCCTAACGTCCTTTTTTTTCTGATCCAGAAAACCAGGATCCTGCTTCACATTTCGTCATCGTCTCCCTTTAGTCTCCTTGACCTGTGACAGTTTCTGAGTCTTTTCATGTTTGTCATGACCTGGGCTTTCTTTTTCGTTTTTTTTTGGTTGTGCTAGGTCTTTGTTGCAGCACGTAGATTCTCTAGTAGTGGTGTGCAAGCTTAGCTGCCCCACGGCACAAGGCATCTTAGTTCCCCAACTGGGGATCAAACCCGCATCCCCTGTGTCAGAAGGCAGATTCTTAACCACTGGACCACCATGGGAAGTGCCATGACCTGGGCATTTTTGATGAGTACTAGTCAGGTGTTTTGTACAGATTCGTCATATTATAAAAATCTGTTGGATTCATCCTGGCCAATGAGGTGGAGCAAACTCCAGCCTGTGGGATGGATCTGGGCTGCGTGTCTCTGTGGTCTGCAAGCTAAGAATAGTTTTCACAGTTATTTGTTTTTTTTTCTGTTTGTTTTTTGGTTTGTTTGTTTGCCACCAGGCAAGTGGGATCTTAGTGCCCCAATCAGGGATGGAACCGCAACCCTGCTGCAGTGGAAGCACAGAGTCTTAACCACTGGACCACCAGGGAAGTCCCAGTTTTCACATTTTTAAGTGGTCGAAAAAAATATCAAAAGAAGATGATCTCATGATACATGGAAGTTCCCATGAAATCCACATTAATTTTAGTGTCCATAAGTAAAGTTTGATTGGAATGGGGCCATGCTCATTCTTCTCTGGACCAAAGTTCTGTGTGGCTGCGTTTGTGTTCCAGCGGCCGAGCTGAGGTGTCTGACAGCCCACTGGGCCCACAAATCCCCACTGTTTACTCTCTGGCCCTTTCCAGAGAGTCTGCTGACCCTGATGCGGATGGCCTGTGGGGGCCGGATTCACTTTGATTCAGAAACTAAGTCAGCTATTAAAAGAGCACTGAAGCTTCATGCTCATTCATTCAATCGTTCTGCAAATATTTATTGAGGGCCCTTTGTCAAAGCTTGCAGAGACCCTTATTTGAGCAAGTGTTAACTGGTGCTAAAACCCTGGAGTTTGGAGAGATTAATTCTCATCAGACATCTTCTTGAGTCTCAGGCACAGTTTCTGCCGGCAGTAATAATAGATGCCGTCCTATTTTGAGCACTACCTTATGCCAGGAACACTTTATTTGCAATATCTCTTTTAATCCTCACCACCACCCCAGGAATTGTTCCAGGAGGAAACTGAGGTTTAAGAGATTAGCCACACCCGAGGGCACACAGGGTGCTACTCAGTGGCAGAGGCAGGACTCAGCCCAGCCTGGCCTGCGGGGCCGGTGCTGTGTAAACAGGATGCTCACCCCACACCGGAGGGGCCGGGGGGTTCTGGAGGAGAGACTGGGGGGTGGGGGAGGCTCTGAGTGGTTCCTGGACTACCATGCCTTGTCCATCTCCAGAACTCTGGAAGCTATAGGCCAGGATGCAGAGGCCAGTAGCCAGAGGCCCACGTGATATGGTATTATCTTTTCAAAAGAGCATCACATGCTGCTTTCTGGTGTCCAGCGTTGTGTCCCCATGTCTTGAGGTACAAGCCCAGTGATACTGTCTACCATCTCTCCTTCCTCCTTTTCTGGTGTCCCTGCTCTGCCAGCCACCCGGTTGGGAGAGTCTGGGTTCTCTGCTCACTTGGCAGGAAGGCGGCCCCCACTTCCTCCCCTGGCCCGGGGCACTGGGGCCCAGCTTCTCCACTGCCTGTGTGGCCAGCTGGTGGGCCTGAGGCAGATGGAGGGGCAGATGTCCTCTGGGGGCCAGAAGGTACACGTGAGCTGCTCTTCTTCCTGGTCAGACAAGCTGAGAGACATCCCAAGAATAGCACCAGCAGGAGCTCCTCTGGCCAGGCTGTTGACACGGATCCTGCTGCCCCTGGCTACTTGGGCCTTCCTGGGGGAACAGCCGCCCGGACCCCAACCCTTACCCTATGTGTGGGTGTGCTCAGTCGTGTCTGACGCTTTGTGACCCCATGGACTGTAGCCCACCAGGCTCCTCTGTCCATGGGATTTCCCAGGAAAGACTACTGGAGCCGGTTTCCATTTCCTACTCCAGGGGATCTTCCCGATGCAGGGACTGAACCCATGTCTCTTGTACTGGCAAGCAGATTCTTTACCATTAGTGCCACCTGGGATGCCCAACCATCCCTCTAACCCTCCCTGGCCATCACCAGGACCTCCCCCTCCACATACCGACTCAGCACAGAGGGACTGAGTGGCTCAACCTGGGCCTGGAGGTGGTTACTGCTACTGGCCCAGTCACAGCAGGTCCAACTGGCCACAGGCCTATTCTGCTCCACACAATGACTCCAATATATATGTCATTAATAAGAACCAAAAAAGAGGAGCCAGATCCAATGAGAGAAGCTCCCTGTGGGTGTCCAGAGGACATCCAACTCTAAGCTATTTTTTTTGGAAGGAAACAAGTCATTAGAGAGTTTTCTGTTCCCTAAAGCGTCCCCAGAAACCTTTTAACTGGCTTGATAATCTCTCTCTCCTAAGCCCTCAGCGGCTGCAAAGTTGATTCATAAAGCTTGTTTTCCTTTTTGGGTTTTTCAAAAAGAATGCAATGTAAACCAGCTTGTGAAGCCCTGGAGGTAAAATCTGACCAGCAGGGCGCCTGCTGGACCATGGCCCATGCCGGCTGTCCCAAGGTCATGGTGACACGGCCTGGCTGGGGAGCCGGCTCTGTCCTGCGTTCTGGGGTGTTCCGAGGACTCACCAGGAGCCAGGTTTCTGAGTGGCCGCCACACAGAGGGCTCTGTGCCAGGAGAAGGGTGCTGAGGCCGTCCTGTTTCTCTCACATGGAACTCTGCCCCTGGGGAGGAAGGACCTTTGCAGAGGTCAGCGATGTCATCTCAAAGGCTGGTTTCTCCGGGAAAGGCACTGGTTTGGGTGGGTGGGGGTGTTGGACTGAACACATGTGAAGGATAACCTTTGGCCCACTGGCCTGAGAGAGGCTTCATAACCGAGGTCGAAATCGGACCATAACTTTCATCTGTTTATAGGCCGGGGGTGGGGGGGCGGGGGGGTACCGTCTTTTCAAGGTCAAAACAGTACTGCAGCCTTAGTCACGTTCCCGAAACAACCCCTGAGCTGGGAATCTGTTTTTGCCTGTTAGGTGTTCTGCAGCCCAGCGGAGTTTAAGGCTGTGAGCCAACCAGATGGGCCTGTGTGGTGCGTGGGTCACGGGAAGAGGGTGGCTAACACGGGCCGAGCTCTGCCCCAGGGAGGCTGGCTGTGTGGTTTCTAGTCCAGGTGCACACCCACAGGGCTCCGGTGGCGGGGGGGGGCGGTGGTGCTTTTTCTGCATTTTCTCTGGCAGTTGCCACCGGGGTTAAGCTTGGCCAATGATGCTCTTCATAACGGCCGCGCACAACTGCTCAGGGTTTACTGATAAGAAGCCACAAGCCAGGGCTCTCAGCAGCACCGAGCACCCAACACCTCCCGCCCCAGTCTAACAGCCGACTGGGATGATCTGTATCTGGCCATGTTAGGCTAAGGGTCCAGGTGCCACTCAAGATAATGGGAATAAGGCCACACATGCCACGAGGAAGGACAGCTGCTGGCTGAGGCCCTCTCTGCTCCTGGGGACCATGCCACCTCCTTGTCCTGGCAACCCTGCCCCAGGCAGCACTGCCATGGATCAGGCATGTGGATGGCAGTCGGGGTTTCCAGCCACCACATCCATCCAACCCCCAGTGTTTTTCTTGCTTCCACCCACTTTTCTATTTCGGACAGAGTAGAATGTCCAACTCTGTGATATCCGTTGCTTAACAGAAACATGCTTTTAATGTCTAAACGTTTTGAAGATTAGAGCAGGGGTAGGGAAATGCAGGAAAAGCGGTACCTCTTGGGGGAAGAAAAACCACATATACACACATAAAGTCCTTTGTGCTTCAGAAACTCTGCTCGACTTCACTGATCCTAGGATCTTGTCTAGAATCTTGGGAAATGGTTAAGCCAAGAATTTCAGTCGTGAATATTTCTGCAGTGATTTCGTCTGGAAGTTCTTCTTCTAAGCAAATTTCAGAACCTAACCAAACAAGAGAAGAAAGTAAATGCCTTCATAATGATTAGGTTTCTAACTCAGAAGCATTTTCCAAAAAAATATGAGGAACTGATACAAAAGAGAAGTGAGACGTGCTCTGTGAGGGGATTTGACTCTGGCTCCTTGAGAAGTTCTGGGGTGGAAATTGGTCAAAATCCTTCCTTTGTGGTTTGGGTTTGGAGCACTCTTACCCAAATCTCTGCACACGTTATTGGAAATGCTCAACTATATGGCATCATTGATTTTACTGTTTTGAGACACTTAGGAACACTGTATCCATGTACATGTATATATGTGTGTGTGTGTATGAAAATTACATTCTGAGATACCAAGTACACACGGAATGGGGTGGGGGAGCTCGCAGGTTGGAAATGACAGATCAGACAGTGGAGTCTAGAACTGTCTGAGTTAGGAACCCTGTTCAATTTGAAATTGGGAACAGACAACAAAAAGAGAGGAAGAAGGAAGGAGAGGAGAAGGAAGAAGGAAGAAGGTGAGCGGTCTTTGCTCCTGACTTCTTGTGGGGGGCAACGGGGCAGCCCTGGGGGGTTGTCCACGGACATGTTCCAGCACACTCGGGCCAACGGACTAAAAGAAGGAGGTGGGAAATCCTCAGATAGGAAAGTAGAAGAGGATGATCTTTTTTTTTTGGCCACACCGCACTGCATGTGGGATCTTAGTTCCCCGACCAGGGATTGAACCTGTGAGCCCTGCAGTGCAAGTGCCAAGACCTAACCACTGGTCCACTAGGGAAGTCCCTGGGAGGATCTCTAAAGACGTTCAAGTTCTGGCAACTTGGGGTCGGGCTCCTGCCTGCCCCCGAGTCGCTGACCCTCTTGTCCTCTAAGGCTCTCCTGACTATACCTCCCCTGAAATGACTTTCAAACTGTATTCTCAATTAGTGGCCAGTGTTCGCTTACCCTGGCCGGAAAGATAAGGACTGGGTTGGGGGAATAAAGGGAAAAACAAGGCCAGAAGACACAGGGGATGTCAGAGCCCGGGAACAAAGGCTTTCATCTCTTCAGCGTGACCACCACTCCCTGGTCCTTTCATAACTTATTCATGTTGGGTTCCCCACAGGCCTGCTTTGTCGTGTGCGCGGTATGAAGGAGAGTGGCTGGCACCAGTCAGGACACATAAATGCACTCAAGTCGACAACAAATTAGCGTGCCCTGGTTACGTGCCCAGACAGAGCCCACTCGCTAGTAGTACCTTTGACAGAGGAGGCTGCAGGCTCGGATTTCCAGCCCTCGGGATTCAGTCCAAACAGCGTGGCGAAGCAGTCCGTCATCTCCTCTTCCGTCATGTGCTCACCTGGGCATCGTAAAGGGAAAAGGAGGCGGTTCGGCTTGTGGGACTGAGCTTCACATCCGAGCTTCGCATCATCTTTCTAAAGTCTTCAAGAGAATTATCCCATAGGTTTCCTTTTCTTGAGATGCAAAAACCACCTAGTGAGTCCCGTGTTACCCTCACATAGACTTCCTTATATGGTGCTAAAAGTGGGCCTCCAACCTGGGGGACTGTGTCAGGGCTTGTGCAGATAGGGAACAGCTTTCTGACAAAGACTGCACTTGGCTTCATTTCAGTTTCCCTCATGTTAGAAACACCAGTTTTGCTGAGATGAAATGATCACCCAGAGAAAAAGGAAAAAAAAAATTTTTTTTTTTTTTTTTTTTTTGTCTTTTGGCTGTGCCACACAGCACGTGGCATCTTAATTCTCTGACCAGGAATTGAACTTGTGCCCCCCACGTTGGCAGTTCAAAGTCTCAACCACTGGACTGCCCGGGAAGTCCCTAAAAAGGATCTTTTTTTTTTTTTTTTTACTTTGGTGTGGTTTTATCTCACAAATGCAACCCAATCTCATGGTACCTCATCGTGAGGTCGATGGCTGGCACTTGTATTCCTGCTTTATGAGTGCTGTGCTAAATTGCTTCAGTCGTGTCTGGCTCTTTTTGACCTCATGACTGTAGCCTGCCAGGCTCCTTCATCTATGAGATTCTCCAGGCAAGAATACTGGAGTCGGTTGTCATTCCTTCTCCAGGGAACCTTCCCAACCCAGGGACTGAACCCATGTCTCATGTCTTCTGCAATGGCAGGCAGGTTCTTTACCACTAGCACCACCTGGGAAACCCAAGGTAAGAGGAAAGCGTCTAGGGCACTGAATTGCGCAGCTCCAGGAAGTTGGAACATACACTCCATCCTTCAGGTCCCCACCATCCTTCCCTTTATCCCTTGTTCACCAGCCATGTGGGTCAGTAAGCAGCATCCTCAGGGCTGAAGCTCTGTCAAATCAAAGATGCGGGTGTCTGGGGGCTGCCTTCCCAGCTCAGTTCTCTCCAGTGGGATGGGCCCAAGGGTGTTACGAGATCTACCTATTTGTATTTACCTTTAGTTTGAAGCAGATTCAGAAAATCCTCTCTTTGAATAGCCTTCTCTCCCTTTGAATTGGTGAAACCAAGAATGTCAAAGCTCTGCTGGATGCCGCTCATGGTGTTACCGAAGGGTGGCCTATGATTGAGGTAGACTTTTAAGAAATCCGGTAAGTTGATTTTGTCGATGAGCTTTCCAGTGTCCACATACTCACTAAATCTGATTTCGTTAAACATATCTTCAATCTAGAAAAGAGGTTTAGGGGAAAAAAAAAAAGACCATGGTAAGCAGATGGATTTCTAAGAACTGGAGCATAACAGACAAATGTTTGCAGTTAGCTTAGAACATGTCTGCTATGGGTTGACTGTATCCACCCCTCACCCCGCCCCCCAAAGACAGGTTGAAGTTCTAACTCCCCATCTCTCAGAATGTGACTTTATTTAGAAACAGGGTCACGGCAGATGTAAGTAGTATGATGAGGTCAATACTGGAATAAAGTGGGCCTTTAATCCAATATGACTGGTGTCCTTGTAATAGCAGTGGGGCAGGTGCAAGCTGGTAGTGGGCCAACTCAGCCATTGGTTGCTGCCACAGTGGGCCCCTCCCCAAGCAAGAAACCATTAGTGAGCAACTGTCAACGACAAACCATTAGTGGTCCTGCTCAGCGATTGGTTGGTGCCCCAGTGGGCCCCTCCCCCTCTTGTGTATAAAAGGAGCTTGAATTGGAACTGAGGGGAGATGATTTTTTGAGATGTTAGTCTGCCATCTTCTTGGTCTGCTAGCTTTCTGATTAAAATCGTTATTCCATGTTCCAACAACTCATCTCCCAATGTATTGGCCTGTCATGTGGCAAGCGGAATAAGCTTGGCTCAGTCACATTATCATCAAAGGAGGAGAGACACACTCAGGGCCAAGATGGACATATGATGGTGGAGGCAGAGGTTGGAGTGATAGAGCTTAAACCAAGGAAAGACAAGGACTGCTGGTAACCACAGAAACTAGAAGAGGCAGGGACGGTTTATCCCCTATGTGTTTCACAGACAGCCTGACCCTGCTGACACCCTGATTTTGGATTTCCACGAGAGAATAAATTCCCATTGTGTGAAGCCACCCAGTTTGTGGTACTTTTTACTGCAGCTCTGATCCACTGTCCAACTGGCCAATACTATTAGCATTGGCATGAACAGTGTTTCATTTTATCACTTTTCACCTAAGTATCAAAGGTCTGTATAGTCAAAGCTATGGTTTTTCTGTAGTCATGTACTGATGTGAGAGCTGGACAATAAGAAAAAGCTGAGCACCAAAGAATTGATGCCGTGGAACTGTGGTATTGGAGAAGACTCTTGAGAGTCCCTTGGACTGCAAGATCAAACCAGTCAATCCTGAAGGAAATCAACCCTGAATATTCATCGGAAGGACTGATGCTGAAGCTGAAGCCTCAATACTTTGGCCACCTGATATGAAGAACTGACTCATTGGAAAAGACCCTCGTTCTGGGAAAGACTGAAGGCAGGAGGAGAAGGGGACAACTGAGGACGAGATGACTAGATGGCATCACCGACTCAATGGACGTGAGTTTGCGTAGGCTCTAGGAAATAGTGAAGAACAGAGAAACAAGGCATGTTGCAGTCCTTGGGGCTGCAAAGAGTCAGACATGACTGAGCGCCTGAACAACAACAAATCTCGCACTGTATTTGCTATGTCCCTGCTTTGTGAAGAAGCTATTTTGTGCCATGTGCTCAGTCGTGTCCCACTCTTTGTGATCCCTGGACTGTAGCCTGCCAGGTTCCTCTGTCCATGGAATTTTCAGCAAGAATACTGGAGTGGGTTGCCATTTTCTCTTCAAGGGGATCTTCCCAACCCAGGGATCAAACCCATGTCTCATATGTGTCTCCTGCATTGCAGGTGGATTCTTTACGTGCTGAGCCATCAGGGAAGCTCACAGAATCCTGAAGAATTTAGAAATTAGTTTATATAAATAAGTAACTAATTCAGTGTGAAACTCAAATACACTGATCGCTGACTGATCGCTATGGTAAGTTTCTTATAATAACTGCATTGTAGTTCTTTTTTCCTTTCTTTCTTTTCCGTGTTTATCCTGCAGTGTTTTATACACACAAAGATATTTTGTAACATACACATGACTTGTGTGATATAATTTTTAAAATGAAGACCTAAGAAGACATCATTCATTGAAAATATCAACACAGTTGACAAATATTAAGTGATACTAACCATGAAAAACAGACCCAAATTTTTAAAATCATGAAGGAAAGAGGGAATGCAAGTATTGACACCAATCTTACAGAAATTAAAAGGAGTATGAGCAACTATATGCCAATAAATCAGATAACTTAGGAAAAATGAACAAATTCCTAGGAAGATACAAATGACCAAAACTGACTCAAGAAAAAATAGAAAATCTGAACAGAACTATAACAAGTAAATAGATGGAATTAGTAACTTTACAACTTCTGTGAAGAAAAGCCAAGGACCAAAGGACTTTATTGGTGAATATGTCTTCCTCCAAATTGAGGGGTTTTGAATCTTATAGAGAAAGACAAGGAGAGGGAGAAAGAGAATAAGAGCCATAGAAAAGTGGGAAATAATATTTCCCCCCAGAACATAACTCTAACTTGGTCTGTAGGAATAAATTTGGAAGATGATCTGTATTTGCACACAACAAAAGTGAAGTGAAAAGTTGCTCAGTCATGTCTGACTCTTTGTGACCCCATGGACTGTAGCCAACCAGGCTCCTCTATCCATGGAATTTTCTAGGCAAGAGTACTGGAGTGGGTTGCCATTTCCTTCTCCAATTTGCACACAATATTTACCGGTAGATAACCAATTTCTTCCTGTCCACTAAATAAATGTAGAGCAAACACTGAAAGAAGCACCAGTTTGAAGCAGTGTCAAATATCAGGCAGTCTGGAGCATCCCAGCATCTTGGTCTTGTTCCAAGTATCAAAAAGAAAATACAAACCTCTTGCAGTCCAACCGTCTGATCATAATTACTGTGAAAGATCTGGGGCACTTTCTTTTCACTTTTTCCCATGCCTATAAAATACATGTGTCTATTTTTTTGCAAATTTGGTTTGTAAATACATTCTTTTTGTATCCTTCTTTTTACACTGTATCTTAGTAATCACCTAATATTTTCAAAGAAGCCACATATTCTCAATGCAACACTCCAGGAATGGTCTTTAGGTATAACATCATTGGTTATGGATACAAATGAACTTTAATCATTACTATGTCAGCAGCTCTAACTGGTAACATTTCCATGTATAGCATTTATTGAGTTATATTATATGTAACTGATGTTAAACTACGTATAATTTTCTGTATAAGTAAAACTATTCAGTAGCATATTATTTACAGAACTGTACTATATAAATTTTTTTTTACTATTTATTTATTTGGCTGCCTTGGATGTTAGTTGCAGCATGTGGGATCTGATCTTTCATTTCAGTGTGGGGGGTTCTCTCTAGCTATGCCCCAGGGTCTCCAGAGTGAGCACGAGCTTAAGTAATTTAGGCATGTGGGCTCTCTAGTTGTGGCACATGGGATCCAGAGCATGCAGGCTCAGTAGTTGCAGAGCACAGGCTTACTTGCCTCACAGGCCATTGGATCTTAGTTTCCCCGACCAGGGATGGATAAGCGGTCCTCTGCATGGCAAGGTGACTTTTTAACCACTGGACCACCAGGGAATTCCCTACACCATATGATTAGTATGAGTATATGCATAATATGAGTATATGCATGTGCTACCACTTACCATGAGCCAGAGGAGACTGGGGCTAAAACTATAATCTTTGATGACAGATCTCTATTCGAACCCGGGCTCTGCCAGTTTCTATGTGACTTTGGGTGAGTAATGTGATGTTCCTTATCTTTAGTTTCCCTTTTTGAAAAGGTGGATAATATGGCGAATCATTTGCAGTGGAGCTGATCTGCAGCTTACTGTGACAGTGTATCTAAGTGTGGACATAATGCCTAAAACACAGTCAGCACTCAACAGGCATTAGAGTTCTTGTGAGTATGATACTTTCTACGCCCTTGTTGATTACAATGCATGCAATTATATCATTTATAAACATAGAAACTATAATGTAAATGATATGTGTACATTATAAACACAACATACGATTTAAACTCAATTCAGAAATAGGACAGTAACTCAAAGATGACAGAAAGAAATCCCAAAGTGCCTGGAGTTGCTCATACCCAGAGTGTTCCAAAGATCTCAGGGAACATGCTTGGCACAAACCACTTTGTAGGTGATTCACCTCTTACTCTCTTTCCTTAAATGACTGATCAAAACTCACTGCTCAACAAGCAGAGAGCTGGCAGCTTTGGCATCACGACTTTCTTTCCCAAGCCTAGTTTGCAAGTGTTAGTTGAAGAGGCAGGTTCTGCTACATGTCTGAACAAGGTTCACGCTTGGGAGAGGAACCCTGGAGCCAGAATGAAACACCACAGCCTTCCCAGGGCCCCGGTGAGGGGGTGGGGGAAAGGAGGGGGAGCCCCCAAGGCCACCCAAAATGCTCTGGCTGGCTTCAACCTGGTCTTTTATTGGCATTCTCGTGCTGGCCCGTCATCTGCTAAGGCAGGGGTTCATTTGATTCACCCAGGGAGCTTTAAATGTTCTGAGGCCCAGGCCCCATTCCCAGAGATCCTGATTTAATTGGTCAGGGGTGGAGTATGAGCAGTCATAGCTTAAAAAAGCTCCCCAGGGGATATGAATGTGTGGCCAAGGTTGAGAAGTTATGGCTTTAGGGCAGGGGATCTCAAACTATATCAGGCATCAAGATGACTAGGAGGCCCTGTTAAAACACGGACTGCTGGTCACATCCCCAGGGTTTCTGATTCTTCAGGTCTGGGATGGGGGCCGAGAATCTGCTCTGCTTACAAATCCCCCGGTGAGGGCTATGCTGCTGGTGTTGGGGGCCACAGCTTTGAGAATCGGTTTTTACACAGCGGTGCTTGGAGGAGGTGATAACTTGTGCCGAGAAGAATCAGCACCAGCTCTTATGATTTTCACTGAGGGTAATGATGGGTGGCAGCTGTGATGCATGGTCTAATTCTTTGGGCCTATATCTGTCTCCTCCATTAAGCTGTAGCAATGGCATTCATCTCTATTTCCACAGCAGCTTCCTCATTCAGAGCCCAGCACATCGTGGAGGCCCAGAAAAATGTTTACTGAATGAATGAATGAAACACTGTGGGCACAATGTAAAAAGTT